ACAAGGACACATGTACACGAATGTTCATTGCAGCACTGTTTACAATAGCAAAGACCTGGAATCAACCCAAATGCCCATTGATAATAGACTGGATTGGAAAAATGTGGCACATATACACCATGGAATATTATGCAGCAATCAGAAATGATGAGTTTGTGTCGTTTGTAGGGACATGGCTGAATCTGGAGAACATCATCCTCAGCAAACTGACACAAGAACAGAAAATGAAACACCGCATATTCTCACTCATAGGTGGGTGATGAAAAATGAGAACACATGGACACAGAAAGGGGAGTACTAAACACTGGGGTCTATTGGGGGGAAAAGGGGAGGGCCAGTGGGAGGGGGAGGTGGGGAGGGATAGCCTGGGGAGAAATGCCAAATGTGGGTGAAGGGGAGAAGGAAAGCAAAGCACACTGCCATGTGTGTACCTAGGCAACTGTCTTGCATGCTCTGCTCATGTACCCCAAAACCTATAATCCAATAAAAAATTAAAAAAAAAAAAAAAAAAAGAAATGTGAGGTACTTTTTTATTCATCATGTTAGTTTTTGCCTAAATACCTTGTTCTTTTGCCATTGTATTATTGTTTTATAGGTCTGGTGCAATTTATGCTTTAACGATGTTCTATTTTGGTGTATTTTGAGGTTTTGTTTCAAGATTTAGGACTCCTTTAAGCATTTCTTGTAGTGCTGGCTCAGTAGTGGCAAATTCAGCATTTATCGAAAAAGATTCTCTCTCATTTATGAAGCTCAGCTTTACTGGATACAAAATTATTGGCTGAGAATTATTTTGTGTCAAGAGGCTGAAAATGGGAATCCAATCCCTTCTGGCTTCTGGTTTGCTGAGAAGTCTGCTGTTAATATAATAGATTTTCTTTTATAGGTTATCTGATGTTTCTGTCTCACAAGATTCTTTATTTCACCTTGACTTTAGATAGCCTGACTAATATGTGCCTAGGTGATCATCTTTTTGCAATAAATTCCCCAGGTGTTCTTTGAGCTTCTTGTATTTGGATGTCTAGATCTTTAGCAAGGCCAGCGAAGTTTTCCTCAGTTATTCCCTCAAGTAAGTTTTCCAAACTTTTAGATTTCTCCTTTCATAGGAACAGCAATTATTCTTAGGTTTGGCCATTTAACATAATCCCAAATTTCTTCAAGGCTTAATTCATTTTTTAAAGATTATTGTTGTCTGATTCAGTTAATTCAAGAGCCTTGTCTTAAAGCTCTGAAGTTCTTTCTTCTACTTGTTCTAGTCTACTGTTGAAGTTTTCCATTGCATTTTGTATGTCTCTAAGTATGTCTTTCATTTCTAGAAGTTGTGATTGTTTTTTCTTTATACGTATCTCTCTGGAGAAGTTTTCATCCATATCCTATATTGTTTTTTAAAATTTCTTTATGTTGGTTTTCACCTCGAATAGCTTAATAATCAGGCTTATGAATTCTTTACCTGGCAATTCAGAGATTTCGTCTTGGTTTGGATACATTACTAAGGAGCTGGTGTGATCTTTTGGGGGCTTTACAGAACCCTATTTTGTCATATTACCAGAAATGTTTTTCTGGTTGTCATTTTGGTAGACTATTTCACTGGAGAGGTCTGAAACTCAAGGTCTGCTGTTCAGATTCTCTTGTCTCATGGGGTGGTCCCTTGTGGTGCTCTCCCCTTTCCCCTAGGGATGGGGCTTCCTGAGAGCCAGACTGCAGTAATTGTTATTGCTGTTCTGGGTCTAGCCACCATTGGGGGTACCAGGCTCTGGGCTGGTGCTAGGGGACATCTGCAATGAGAACTGCAAAGTGATCCATCTTCGGGTCTCCAAGCTGTGGCTACCAGCACTTGCTCTGGTAGAGATGGCAGGGAAGTGAAGTAAACTCTGCAAGAGTCATTGGTTGTAGATATGTTTAGTGTGCTGGCTCTCTTGAATGCTGCTTATGCTAGCAGTGAAGTTGTCATGTGGACACACTCAGGACCTCTGGTTACCCAGGATGTTGTAGGCAGTGCAATTAGGTCTTGTCTGCTCCTTCCTGGGATCAGGGTTATTCTTTCATGAGTTGCTGTAATGGCCTGAGTACCCAGCCAGGAAGTGGTAATTTCCAGAGAGCACCAGCTGCAGCAGTAGCAAGGGGCTCTAAGCTTGACCTAAGATGCCCAAGGTAACTATTTTGGTTTCTTGGGCAATAGGCAGGGCCATAAAGCTCTAAAGAGTGTCTGTGTTTTGAGTTCAGCAACCAGGGTAGGTAGGGAGTTACCATCAGGTGGTGGCAGGGTTAGGTGGGTCTGGGCTCAGACTCTCTTGGGCAGGTCTTGCTGCATCCACTGTGGGAATTAAGGGATGGGGGTGGTTTGTCAGGCCAATGGGTTTATGTTCCAGAGGGGATCTTGGCTGCTTCTGCTTTATCATATATTTCGCCAGGGTAGTGGGGGATATCCAGCAGCAAGAGGCCTCACCCAGCTACCATGCAGTTGGTGAGGCTAGTCTCATTCCCAGAGTGCACTGCTCAGACCTTGCCCCAGGCTGTGAGCTACCCCACTGAGAAAGCAAGCATGGCTTTTGGACCTCACCCTTTCCTGTTTGCCCACTCCACTGACAGAAGCATCCTCTAGTCCACCCAAGAAAATTTGTGCCCAGTTGAAACCACTAAAATTTCATTCCATCGCCCTGCGATCCCTCTCCAATTCCAATGGCTGCCTTTCCTGAGGGCCATTGTGAGATATAGTCAGGACTGGCTTTCCTGGACTCAAGGTGGAGACTGGGAGTACATCCAAGGCACTTCCTGCTGCTACTTCTACTTTCATATTTCACATAACTCCCTAAATCCATTTCATCTTTAGGTAAGGTTAAATCCATCTCCCAAGATCTGGATTTTTAGATTTCCTCAGTGGGGATGTGTGTTTAGAGGTAGGTTCTCCCCAGCTCACACTTTGGGAACTCAGTTTTTCGCCTGTTTTGCTGAATTTGCAGTGAGGTGCCACTTCTTTCAAAGGATCTTTGAATTCTTTTGGTTTTCCTGGTAAGTTCCTACAGTGGTTCTTGGAGCAAAAGGTCACAGTGTCTCTATATGCTGCTCTGTCTGTCCATCTGGGAGTTGTATGTTAGCCCTGTCTCTTATCTGCCATCTTCCCTATTTCCTGTTACCAGTTTTTTTGTTAACTTTCCAAAGATATTTTATTTGCATACATTTACATATTTACTTCTTTGTATATATACATTTTTAACATAAATGGTAGAATATGGTGCAACCACTGAGTACCTTGCTTGCCACTTGACAATTCATCATGATCGTCCTATTCCATCAGTACATGAAAGATCATGTGGATGTTAAAAGCTAAAATTACCAAGCGGCAGCACCATTTACTCTTCAGGTTTTCAGACAATATTTAAAAATCTCTTTCTGAAGGCTTATTTTTGCCTTTTTCTTAAATTGCCTTCCCCAGCATTCTCTCAGCCTTTATGTAGGGTCCTTTAGCTGAATTAATTTGGCTTCAAGGGAGGCTCACTTGTATTACTGAAAATTATCACCCCAGACCCACATTTGCATGTGCTCTATATAGCTTCTTTGTGCTTCCCCCACCTACTTCTAATACTAGTTCCCCAAATCACTGTATTTTGCCTGATAACTGACCTCAGATTCATACAAGCATGCATATTCTCTCCTTAGACTATTTCTTCCCAAGGTGTCCCCATTTTGAAGTGGACAAGAATTTTATCCATACTTAATTTCCCCAGGATAGCAAATTATGTGGACAGATCTGTGTTTCAGAGGTAAGACCAGTAGCTTTCTGATATATTCTGTGGATAACTATCCAGAAACATGCTATACGTACATATACAAACTTCACCTGGCACTGAAAAAAAAAAAGTAAAAAATGTACTTTCCTAAAGTCAGAGAGAATCAATATGCAGTGATAAATGTGAAATGGCTTCCCCCAGTAGTCGGTTTTAGACGCCAAATTCTCATTTGAGACTTGAAATATTTAACCCATCCCTGTGTGCTCAGTTTAGGTGTCCTTGCTATTAACTACAAGGAAATGGGTTTTCTGTGATTATGTAGGGTAAAACATAAATGCTAAAAGAAATCATCTACACTCTATATGCAGCTGTTAACATTATCTGAATGATTAATATGTTTAGGCATTTATATTCTCTAAGTCAACTTATAAGGCAGATTTTATGAGGCAGTTCATCTCTAACAACACCTCTGATCTTTCGAGTTGCATATGACATTCAAACCTGGGACTGTAAGAGAAGTAGCACATGTGGACCAAGCCACAGACTTCTTAGTCATGGTAGCCATTTTTGTCCCTTGGGAACTAATGCTGTGATTCCACACCTTATACCACCACTGGTCTTTGTGGGGCTATCCCCACAGTTCTGTGATTTGGCTGTAACAGTAGACAGAAGCTGGGTAGTAATGGCCAAACTAAGCAAGAAGGCAACAGTTGCCAATCTGACCATTTTTAGATGATCAGTAATTTAATTCATCAAAGCAGTTACCAGCCATTGGATGTTCCATAACTGAAAGGCATGGTTCAGAGACTTACATTAAGTATTAACTTTCTCATCCCTCACACAGTCTTATAAGGCACATGCTATCATTACCTTCATTTTACAATAAGATAATCGAAATGCACAGATGTCAAATAATTTGTCCTCTTGGATACAGCTACTTTGTTGAAGAGCAGAGATTTGATCCCAAGTAATCTGTCTCCAGACTGTATACTCTTGAGTAATGTGATATTCTATGTTAAATCATTTAAAAGGTATCCAGACAGCAAAATCAAAACTTATTAAAAAGGTTGTAACTTTGAGTGGTTCAGCTCAAAATGAATGAGAGTAACAGGGCATTATTAGCAAGAGGAAATAACTCTTCATAAGACTTTGTATAATATAAAGCAAACTTGGGTGAGGGTATGGGGCCACCTGCTCTGCCAGTTAACCAAATGCCAGATGCCACTCCAAGTCCATACGATTTATGCTGGTACACCTTCTAGAAAGACTACCTACCTCTCTCGTTTTGGGGCAAAACGGCTCGGCCATTGGAATATGGCACACTCCTCTGGCACAAGAATGACTTCCATCATAGAAGGACTGTGGTCTCATAGTGGTCCTAGAAAATTAAGCAAAAAAGGTTTTTGTTGTTTTATTTTAAGGCCATCTTTCCATCTTCCAAGGGCCAGTGAGTCAACTTTATCTAAGTCCATCTTTTCGTCTTTAACGCCAGACTCAATTGCTCTGGATAAGCTGAAGACAGTTTGTTTATAAAAGCTTCAGGGTGATATTCAGCTTTTTTGGCCCTGAGCTGGCAGCCACACACCATACGCACAACAAGAATTAGTGTCTGTGGTCTGGCAGCCGTGGTGCAGTAACCACGTTGGACTGCAGGTACAACTCAACTCTGGGCTCAGAAAGGCAGGTAAAACACTTAAGAAGTCAATACGAAAATGTTTCATCATCAGAGATGTGGAAAACCACATATTGAACATATGCATATCACCATTTACACATTACCCAGATTTCAACAGTTTCTGAAATTTTGTTGAACTTGCTTCCTCTGTTAGCTTTTTCACAGACACAAACCCAAGGCTTTGACTCAGAGCAGATGCAAATTTCCCCAATGTCTTAAAACAATTTTTTAAAACAGTTGTTTTGTTAGTTTCAGAGTCCAAACAAGGGAATTACCTTGCATTTAATTATCATATTTCTAAGAGTAATTCTTGCCTGTATCCCCAACTATATTTTTTAATGCCAGTGAGCCACCGAAATAGCCACTTGTCCTGCTCCATATTTAGGAATCTTTCTGTTTGCTGTCTTAGATTTTTTCTCCCTAGCTGTAATTAATTCTAAAGTATCTTAGTTCAAGTTTTATGACAAAACAGTTCTGAATCCATAAGAGAGGCTAATATTAATCTAGCACCAAGTTACCTAAAAATTTCTTGCTAGAAGTTTTCAGAACAAGCCACTTTCTCTATGCATTCAATTATTCCAAATTTGAACTGATGAGTAACACAGGGAATAGGGGACAGCATGGGAGATAAGGGTCAGGGGCAGTCAACAGGGGCAGGTAGATAACATGATGTCCTCTCCCAGGGGTGGGAGACAGCACTGAGAAATAGTTTCACTGGCTCCATTTACACAGCTGGCATGTATACTCGCCAAAATTAACCTGTTATTTCCAGTCCACCACACACTAAACAGTGGCACTGAAGCTACCTCACTCTGAGATAAGGCTTCAGCGTTCTAGAGGAATGAAAACCCTATCCAAGATTCTCCCAACCCTGTCATATGTGCTTTAGGGGAAATGCTAAGTTAACCCCAAAGCAATTCCAGATGGAGTTGAAGAACAGGTCAAATGACTGTTTGAGCCTGTATAAACAGAGGCTTTTCTCATTGTCAAAGATTAACCAATAAAACAATGCCACGTACTCAACTTTAGCTCTGGCTTTGTTTCAGCCTTTGATGAGTCAAGCATTAGCAACATCCCTACTTATAACTGTGATATAAAATCAAAACAGGGCCACAAAAGCCTCCAGTGGCTATACTCCAACTAACTTCCACACTATAATGCCTGCATCTCATCTACCTCTGCCTATCTCCTGTCTATCCCCACCCATTTGCCTTGGAACACCCCCAACCCGCCACCTTTGCTTTGAACTTTTTAACCTTAATAACATGTACTTATGTTAAGCTTCATGCAACGTTACTATGCACAAGATACTTATTAACTATAGTCTTAATTTCCTCTCACGGGTGGAACATTTTGCATTTTTCTTTCTCAACAAAGCTCCCCAACTACTAGCTATGTGACTTATACCAGACTGCCCTTTTCGACTCTTCATTTTCCAATCATTAAACACAGTATTCACCCGTCTATTTTACAAGTGTGTTAGGAAGATTATATCAACCAAGACGTCCAGATATCCCATTGCAGCTCACAATTGTGGGTCTGGGATAGAGACAGAATTGGAGTCAGCACCCAATGGGGCCTCACAACACTCAACCTTTTAAAAGGCAAGCAAAGAGGGTAGCCCTGGGGAAGAAGCAAGGACTTAAAATCATTTTTGGGCTATACTATCAAGATACTAGAAGGGAAGGTACAGATGAGAAACACCTCTTACAGTTTGCCCACCTGTTTGTGGTTTTCTGCGTCAACTTAAGTGTCAATATATTCAGTATTGAAACGTTTAATGATCTAAACTTAAATTCCTACAAATAGCAACATACCTGCACAGCATAACATGATGAGGCACTGTTTATGCTGAATGAAATTCTGACCAAGAGCAATGGGGTTTATAATCACAGTTGAGGACAGTAGATTATGCTCTTAAAAGAAATTCTAGAATGAAATGTGTATAATTTTAATAGCACCCACCAGTCCTCTTTCTCAAGGTATCTATCAGAGAAATCAGAAGTTTTACAACTTAGCAAGAAGCCTGGAATAAGCCTGCTGTCACACTCCACAAAGTGGGGACTGCTGCCCAATTGAGCCTGCCTGCTGCCTTCCAAGTTCCGGCCAAAACAGCTCTTCTATATTCGGAATCATATTTCTCCCTCGTGCTGAGTTTTCTGAGTGACATGGAGAAAACACAGGAAATGTAGTTTTGCCCCTGGATTTGAATGAATTTTTGGGTGGTCTTGGGCAAATTACTCAGCTTCTTCAAGTTCTTTCTTCGTGAGGTATTAGCAACATCCCTACTGCTATGATCTGAAGGTTGCGTCCTCCCAAAATTCCTATGTTGAAATCCAAACTCCCAAGAGGTGATGGTATTAGGAGACAGAGCCTTTTGGAGGTGATTAAGCAGATTCTTCATGATTGGGATCAGAACCCTTATAAAAGAGACCCAAGAGAGCTAGGTCATCCTTCTACCACCATGTGAAGGTGTCATCTGTGAGAAAGTGGGTCCTCACCAGACACCAAATCTGCTGGCAACTTTTTTTGGACAGCCTCCAGAACTGAGAAATTTCTGTTGCTTAGAAGCTACTCAGTCTATGGTATTCCATTATATCAAACAGAACAGACTAAGACACACATGTATACCCTTGCTTGAACATAAAAACAAGGCTGCAAAAACCTCCAGTGGCTACCTCCCGATAGACTATAATACAATAACATGTCCATTTTAGATTTCAAATATGCCCCCTCCAAAGATGTCCATATGCTAACCCTTAGAACCTATGAATATTACTTTAGATAGCAAAGGGGAACTAACATAGCAAATGGAATTAAGGTTGCTAACAAGCTGATCTTAAAATGGAAAGGTTATACTGGATTAACTAGGTAGGTGGCATGTCTTCACATGGGTCCTCACATGTGCAAGAGGGAGGCAGAAGAGTCAATGTCATCATGATGAGAGGTGAGGACTCCATTGCCATTGCTGGCTTTGTAGATGAATGAGAGCGATAAGCCAAGGAACGTGAGTGGCAAAGGGCAGGGAAATTGATTCTCCCGTCTCCAAAAAAGAATGCAGCCTTGCTGACAACTTTTTTAAATTCAGTGATACCCATTAATACACTCCTAACCAACAGAAATAAAAGATAAGGTCTGCCCCTTACTCTTGCTTTAGGCAAGGGGATTAATTTTTATCTCCCCATTAGCTTGGGATCCTACTGGAAAACATGGATTTCAGGAACTGACTGATCTACTGGTTTTACCACTCATTAGCTGCGTGCCTCTGGGAGAGTCACTCTCATCTCTATGCACCTCAGTTACATCAATCAGTTTCCTTAAATGGGAGTAATCCCACTTACCTTATAAAGTCCCCAGTGAGAACTGAATAAGACAACATGAAGCAAGTACTTGGCACTAGTCACTATCATTTATGGAAAATATGCTTCTGGACATTTCTTCTGCCAACCCAAAAGAATGACACTTTGATGGGCCTCAAGTCAAGGGTATCCAACAAATTGCTTGAGGCTGTCAAGCACGGATATGCGATACGAAAAGTTAGTAGACAAAGAAAAACTGCTTATGGAAGAGTAAAGGAGACAAAATAATGTGTGTTGGCAAGAGAAATGAGTTCAAGACAGTCAAAGAGAGAACAGTGGCACCTTCAGACAAAGAAAGGGAGAAAAGTCTAGAAACAGATTGACTAGTAGGTTGTTTCTTGAATCAAGATTCTTACATTGGCTTAAAGACAGCCGTTAGTTAATATATTTCCTTTGAGGAAATGTGGTGTTGCAAACAAGCTGAGGATAAACACCCATCCCCCAGCAGAAGCACACACAATCATCGACTTCTGAGGAGCTTTCAGAATATGGTCTGTATCCACAACAAGACCAACACGCAGAATCGTGAGTCAATTAATTTACTGGCAGAGCAGAATAACGGCTGCTCATAAGGAAGATGGTTTACGAGAAGTGAATCTACCCATCATTTAGAGTATATCCCAAGAATCAAACAGCAGCGTGAATGGGCAGTTCTGTCAGAAAAAATTCTGACAGAAACAACATCAGACTAAGAAGTAGAACAAGTCTGTCTTCATAACCAGAAGGAAGTCAGGCTCACACCGGTATTTCCAGCACTTTAGGAGGCCAACGTGGGTGGATCCTTTGAGTTTAGACATTCAAGACCGACCTGGGTAACATAGTGAAATCCTATCTCTACAAAAACATATGAAAAATTAGTTGGGTGTAGTGTCACATGTTTGTAGTCCCAGCTACTTGGGAGGCTTAGGTGTCAAGATCACCTGAGCCTGGGAAGTTGAGGCTACAGTGAGCTGTAGTGCCACTGTATTCCAGTTTGGGTAACATAGTGAGATCTTGTCTCAAAAAAAAAGAGAAAAAAGTAAAAAGTTATGAATTTGAATCAATATCATTAAGATCCTCCTACTGCTCTGATATCAAGAGTGCTCCTAAGTGCTCATAGTGGCATAAAAAAGGAGAAAAACCAGTGGATGTTTATATCCCAGCCAGGTAAGGATGCTTAATTAACAAGTACCATAGTTTTCCCTTATTTTCTATTATATTTAATGAGATCATGCTAAACAGTCCACAAGAATAAAAATTCTAGCTCTACATAGGTGGTGACAATATTCTCTTTGGGCTTCAGTTTTCTCACCTTTTGTAAAAGGGAAGGATAAGGTAGATAGAAGATGTCTGCTAGAACCATAA